CTTACAGAAAATCGAGCTTCTAACAAGATGTGCCGTTTTCTTCATTTATGATAGTTTGTTGACACCGAATACAGCACGCTTTACAGTCAGGTGTAAATTATGGCTTACTCGGATTCCCCGCAGGCGAGATTCCTCGGTAAGCTGATCAGACCAATCCAGTAAACACTTCGCGTGTTCTCAAGCCATTAGGTTGATGCAGTATCCCAGCCTTCGTGCGTCCTTCCGTTGGCATGACAGCTAGGCACCTGCAGGGTGCTACATCTGAATAACAATATCAAGAGCTAATGGATGTGTGGTACTTGTTCTCCTTGTTCATTTCATCCTTGCCTCGACAAGGTGTAGCACGGACGTATGCATCAACTCGACTAAGTACGTTTATGCCCGCCTGAAAGTCAGGTCAGGGAATTTTGTTTGATTGATTGTCTTTCCGGAATACACCGAGAAAAATCTGCTCAACAGAGCGCTATTTGATAGTCAGATGCATGAATAAATGTTTGTACTCTTTGTTGAGTTAGGACTTCATGGACTTTCGTTGACTACGTCAGCACGTTGATTAAGTGAACTTCAAACTCCTGTTTGACCGATGTTTGTTATATATTCAAACGGGTGCAAAACTCCTGTCCGATGTATGTTGTACTGCAGTCAAGTACGTCCACATAATCTAGCTTAGTCGTACCTGTTTAATTGAATAGCGCCCCAATAAGTATGATTTGATTACTTCACTTGACCGCACCCAGCCCAAGTCGCGAGAAGGTTCTAACATTTTTTAACTATCGGTGTCTTATTATCTCATCTCTCTCATCCCAGTCTGTAACCAGGCATTGGAATGAACGTCACATATCATCCATTCTCCATCATAACTAATCTGTTTGTCTAAATACCATGAGCAAACCGTTCCACGTTGATCACTTTTATGCCACGGTTTTAGTTACGTGCCTTTGTTATCGCGTTTAGCTGGCCAATCTCGTAGGACTCTGTCTTGAATGATACACTTTCAAGACACGTTCTCTGTATGTCTGATCTCGTGAGTTATTCCACTTTAGCGTTTTTGTAACGGTCAGTCAAAAAAACAGGTGTTCATCAACTGGTTAGGTGGACTCGCAATACAGAAAGTCTTAGTTCCGAGTGGATAGTTCGTTTGACGGATCATTCAGTTTATTATGCGTGCTTCAACTTGCCCTTCAGGTAGTCAAGACATCAAGCCTATGAATATTGTGGGTGACACCGGCTTGTTAGCTTTCGGGCCCCAGCTTCACCGTTTTCGTCAAACGTCGGGTTTGTTTCGCTTTGCACCGTGGGTTTACTTCTGACATGCACCTCGCTTTAGATGAGAGGAAGGGATCAGAGCTAGTGAAGTTGCAGATGCAGCTACGGTGTGTTCAATATGCTACCCTACTGATGTTGCACACATCCACCTAGGTTTAAAGGGATGTTCGCTCTACATTACAGTTTGCAAGGTGTGTGGAAAAAAACTTTCTGTTTTCTCTCTCTCTTTTAACTCGTTTAAGAATTATCAAGCCGCAAGTCCTATTGGCCAACTTAAAAGATACCATCAGAGCCTGGCGAAGCCGTATTTCAGACAGATGAACCACTCTGGTTACTGCACTACAGATAAGGTGGTTGTTTAGTGTTTCTCAGTTTCAATCAGAGTTCATGCAGTTCTAGTTCGAGGATGTGGGATATTTTTATTCGCACTTATTATTCTAATAAAACCGATACATTCGAAGCATTAGTAACCGGCGGTGAAGATATCTTTCCGTTTGACTACCTCCTTCCTCGGAACAGGACAATTTTTGACGCTTCTCAAGGGTGGCCCTTATATGGAGTTGACCGCCACTTCACGTTATATGATCTACCATTTGAAATATCCGCTGTTGCCGAGAAAGACGACCATGGTCTGTTTGACTTAGTTTCGTCACGATCTGACGGTAGTGGTTGTCCTGACTGAAGCTCTTACCTCAGCCCAGTACTGTCCAATTTCGTTTTGTTGCCATTTAGACCGCAAAGTAACTACGAAAAACACTGGATAGCATATGTTTGCAAACTTGATGGTTTCATGAATGAAGCACACTTTTAAGTGGGTGTGTAAAACTTGTTGGACTGTTTGCAGCAGACCGATTTCAGTGCAATTCTGCTCACTTTCATTCCGCGCTAAAACTTGTTCACGCTGAAATAGAATATTAACAAAACGAAATATTTCAAGAGGTTTTGACATACTGTCATTTGCACACGAGTTTGGGTTCTGATAAGAGACTGCAGCTTCGAAATTTTTCTTGTGTTTCCATGAGCTTGTTCTGGTAAGGTGTTTTTTATCTGGTACACTGGTCTAGTGGTCGAAAATTTCCACTGGCCCCATAGTCTTTCGCGAAGTGCATAAAGGTTTGAGCCATCAATAATGCTTTGTATTTAACCTAAGGTAAACTTTGTTGTACTTAATCAGAACATAGATGTTCGATTCATCATCAAAATCATCGACAGCATATCAGTGTTCATCACCGATGCGCGGCTACTGTAACCGTTCGATTTACATATCTTCACTGTTTAGGTCAACTTCAACTGTCTAGTCGAAATTCACCTTCATTAAGATTCAAGTGGATTTTACGCGATTTGTTATCTATTACTTTGGTTAGCGTGTTTTCTTTGTTAGCCATAACTCAGAAAAACTAACCACACTGGTGTGCATAGGTACTATCGACGGAGTCGATGTTTTGCTGCAGTCTTTGCGAATAATCAGTAGTATTATTCCATCATAATAAAACACTCCAGTGGCTTAGGGACTAACTACATCTGGCCCTGTAAGCAACATTTTTGGGTTCATCAGACTGTCTGTGATTGTGAAAAGTTTTGAATAGCCATTTAGTAGTCCCACCTTAATATGAAACTATTTTTATTAGGATTGGGTGCAAAAAATGGGTTTTGAGAACCTACGGAAAAGGCTACAAAGGGAAATAGACCATAGACTCCGTGTTTTGCGTCAATGCTTGCGTTACCCAGTGCCTTGCCGAATTCATTTAGTTTATGAAAAGGCCGGTGAGATTCCTCAGTTCTTTTCATCTACAGGTTCATGTGCAGCGAAGCTCTTCATGCAAGCACTCTTCAAGGGTTTACTGTGTACCGGACACTGGCTGGATTTGAGGTGTGCGATCGGCCCTGAACTCGATTGTTTGCCGACTTCATATTTCTTCAGATGAAACAGACTCGCTTTTTCGTGCACTCATTAGACGAATGACATTGTTGGGTAAACAGTAGATCTTCACTCGGATCGCTCTCTTCAATCCTCTTGGCCTTTTTATCAATAACGAGACTGTGTTACAGCGAAATTTGTTCGTGTTTTCTTTCTTTGCCACGCGCATCTAAACGGTTATCACTGTTTCGTTACCTTGAATATATTGAATCGCTTTACGACCAGCCGTTTTGGTGTTGTATGGCAGTGTGCAAAACATTCGGCAATGTCGTTACTACAAACACCCTTTGTAGTCAAGTAGTAATTCATTATAACTGTTCTACTAAACACTCCTAAACCTTCAATTCTCAGTTTACTTCGCTACAGTTTCAAGGTGTATTCGAGCCCAAGTTTAGATTACGTAACCTTTCGGATTTCTCACGTGATGTACCTGTAGTTATATATTACTACTCTATCTATTGACTCAAAAACAGACAGAATAGAGGAAGCAAACAGCCTGATTACCACTAAAGTTAAGATGGGGGTGTTTTAAGTTACTTCGGTGTCAATTGAACATAACGGTCAGGGTTTCTGGCTATCCTAGCTCAATTCGTGTCATTGCACGGACAGTGCTGAGGGTTATCATTCGCTTTACATTTTGCTATAGCATGTCTTTCATCATGGAAGGACGGTAGCAACGCGCGCGATAGCCGTTTTCCAGTGTCCAGAGGATGTCGCGTTACGAGGACGCATCTGTTCCGACGAAGTTTCATCGAGACTTTACTGAAGAGGTCAGTATTTGTTGAAGTCTGTAACTCTACCAGTGACACATTAGTCATGCAATCATTGAATTACTAAGTTCTTGGGCGAAACCGGTCGTGGGCTGTCGAAGTATTTTCAGCAACCTTATGAGTAGTGCATTACAAAGATATACATGTATCGCGATATCTCGAATATCGTAGCGACTGAAACATGAGGCGGCCTGGTGCAGCACATTCCGTTGCCTGAAAACATCGCGAACGAGAGATTCAGCTGGGTTCCAGGTGAGTCTCTTGAAAAACTAAATTAGTTTGCAGATGAGTGCATATCCGCTAATTTGGTGCAATTGGTTTCAAGTAGGACATAAGGTTGACGGAACCCCGGGGACTGTGCCTACCTGATGAGCCCCAAAAAGGTCGAAACCGGTCGTGGGCTGTCGACGGATTTTCAGCAACCTTATGAGTAGTACATTACGAAGATACCAGGTTCTTTGTTGCATTAACCCAGTCGAAAAACGTCTTTAACAGGCTATTTGGACTACAACGGTAAATACCTGTACTGATCGGGAATCAACAGCCAGTGAGTTAGATCTGTAGTCGTACTTGCGATGCTCCCCTGAAGCTCCTATGAAGAAGGACCACTAGCTTAATCAGGATACGTTGATGGAGAAACGTGGGTTTTTTTTACAAGGGACGCCCCAATAGTCATGTGACATTGCAGTGATCTCTCTGGCTCATTCCCATGCAATACATCACTTCGATTTGACCGCTTGGTCAAGCAATAGGTCGCAACAGGCCGATGGTTCTTTATCCGAAGTACCGTCGAATTTTCCTTTTTTCGAAATAAAGTACCACGTTCTATCCAGCGGTTTGTTGGCAACTTATTTCCTTTCGGAAAGTGAATTACAGTCGTAGCAAAATAAAAAACCAGACGTTCGAAAAACAACGCCATGTGCAAAGCTTCTATCCGCTCATCCCATTTTAATTTGTCATTCTTTCGAGGAATTCGTCCGTGTTTCGCGAGAGAACTTTCCTGTGTGTTTTCATTATACTTACAGATTGAACCAATCTGAGACAAAATGAGAGAAATATTGCTTGTTACGCTAGTGGGTCTTCCGGCCAGTGGAAAATCCTCATTGTGCAGAACGCTGACCGAACGTTCTATATCGGATTACGCCGTTGTTTGGATACATTTTGACAATCTGATACCACTTAGTGCGTTGCATCCAGTGCCGGAATCGGATTCAGAGGTTTGATTAATTAAGCTATTTTCACCTCCTAGCCCTCTGATTGGAAGCATTGGAGACAAGTGATCCATGACTGTGTTGAACGATGCATTCAAGCTTGTCGGAACCCCACAAACCAGTCATTAGTGACACAACAATGTCGGTCACTCTTACCCAGTTTCCCTCCATTCCCAGATGATAGTCCGTCGAACGTCATCTTTTTATTGGATGATAACTTCTATTACTCAAGTATGCGTCATGCGTACTATCTACTTGCCAAACGCTGTAAGTGATGCATAGAGTGTTAATTTGCAAACATGTTGTAGATGAGGCTGGTTATGCGTCAGTTGTTTGTTGTGCTGCTCTTACGGATTGTATGGAACGAAATCGAGTCCGAGAAACAGCAGTTCCGCCCAATGTTATCTCAAAAATGCACCAGCGAATCGAGTGGCCAGATCCAGAAGGAAATCGTTGGGAGCAACATACCTTCATCGTAAACACTTCCAAAGACATTAGGTAATATTGTATTTATTGCTGTGTACAAATGGATTTGACTTGTAGTTCAGAAACCCTTGATTCGCTTCAGGAGTTTTTGATGTCCTCCTCTAAAAAGCCTTTTAGTTATGTTGCTGAGATCGAACAAGCCCAAAGGCGTGAACAAGATCGGAAAGCCAATTTTGAGAGCATCTTGCATCAGGTTGACATTTCTCTCAGATCCAAGGTTCAAGTTGTGATGCAATCTCACAGTTAGTCCATTCCTATCATAGTATAAATACCTTTTAGCCCCACAGTGGAAATCAAAACATTCCAAACAGTTGAGCGACCTGAAATCGGATACTATGAACGCTATACGCACCAAGATTTTGAGCGACCCTTCTAATGAGACTTTGGAAGCATATCAGCGCGAGGCAATCACCCTGTTTGAGAGAGGTTTGGAGCAACTTCTTAGTCAAACGACTCTTTCCTGATTCTTGAGTGACCGTAATACATTAATTTTCTATGTCATTTTGTTTTCGACTCGTCTCCGTGACTACTAGGGGGTAAGTTGATCCAAGGAGGGGGAAATTTCACTGTTGTTCATGATGCTACCCGGTGCCGTGGCAATTTAGTAGTAGAAAAGTAAGGTGCACCGGATGGATTCCTTATTCACAACTTGCTTTTAGATCTCAGCTGTCCGGTGAAGTTTCAATGAAACGGAGATCGCTACTGATCGCCACAAACGTCATTCGCAGTGTCCTAATCAATGGGTTGACTGCTTTATTTTGAATCGGGTGATCAAAGTTCGATTATTCCAACGCCCTCTTCTCTCCTCAAAGCATGCAAACGCGTAGAGCTGTGTGTCGTCGGGGATCTGGATGTGGGTAGCCGAAGTGATTTTCACTCCGACTAACGCACGCCGTCCTTGGCGATAGTTTTCCCCAGATCAAAAAGCTGAAAAAACGGTTAGCACGGAAATTGCAATCCCAAAGACCTTGTCTACACAAGAGTTGCGAAATTCCTCGTATGCTGTTACTCTTCCTTTAGGAGCCGGAAGTGTTAGTATAAATCAGTAAAATTCCAAAAGTTAAAAACCGGCACCGCAACACATGGTAAAGAGTCAATGAGCACAGCGCTTTACTGGTAATATCACCGGTGCTTTATACTACATTGTAGTGTAAGCATTCGAAATGAACATTCTGTGCCTCTCTGTAAACGGCGAATAACGGGTGTAAAACCACAAAAGAAGGAAGAACCTTTCACGATCGACTTACCCATAGAGAGGTTATTTTGGCAGTCCAACCAGTAATTTAGTTCCATTTAATGACTTCGAAAACAAGTGTCATGCGCAAGCCCTAGAGTGCTACTATATCCATGGCATCGCTGATGCTAGATGTGTTAAGCATGGATCAGCTTGTTTCCGAATTGTGTCTATCATCCTGAGAACAGTCGGTATCTGCCAACTGCTCTCACGGCTAGCGCTCACGGTTTGGATTCAGCTTCGTTCCTTCTCTGCCCCAGGGATACCTCCGCTCCAACGTCTATCTCGATAACGGCCTGTATCGTACCCTGTGTCACTGTACTAGTCGCAACCCACCCGGTAAAAGAGGAGTGATCCAAAGTTTTATTATGTACAGGTGGTCGGATACGATGACATTGATTCTTCCAGTGGCCCGGCACGCCAAACTTATAGCATCGGATTGTTCGAACGTGCCTCTGCGGTTCCGTCTTAATAGCTGCAAGCTGTCCAGCTAGTTGTTCCAATCTGGCTCGCAGTTCCTCCACTGCCGAATCATCTCTCTTCCTGTGCGACTGCCTTGTGCCAGATGCACAAGCTCCTCCACACTCAGGTGGCCATCTGCTGTTGCGGAGCGCAGGCTGAACACCTTCAACGAACTGGTCAGACAGCAACTGCTGGCGCGATACTGCCGAAAAAGCCCGATCCAACGACTGCTGTTGCACATTCAAGTTCCATCCTAGCCGACTTGAACTGCCTCATAGCCTCCTGGCGGTCGGCCGGTGTGTCAAACTCCGCTGCAAGAGCTTCTTTCGCGGCGGGCCAGTCCAACTTCCGGGGGCCCTTCTATCTGCATCCAGGACCACCTTCACCCGGCCTCTGCGGAGGGCCTTCAGTGCCGCTAACTTATCTCGGTCGGTCCCCAATCCAGCTGCCTCTGCAACCTCCTCGAGATCCTTCAAAAAGGTCCTCACATCCCCATACTCAAAAGGCTGTGGCCACGGGATCTTCATCCGTATCCTAGTCACAATACCAAATATAAGCAGGAAAGCCGTTTGCCACGAAGTTGTTCATTTGCAAACACCAACTAAATAGTCACAAACTACTAGTAAGTAAACATCTCATATGCATCTTGTTGTTTTTAAATCTGAACATCTTCAGGCGTCTTCCTGAACGTTCGAGGATATTCACTGACTGTCAGCGATTCTAAGCGAATGCTGCAAAATTCGTTCCACAAGTTCCTTAATAAACCCCACCTTTCATTGAGGCGAGGCGTATTTACGAGAAAATCACATACTACTCGCCTGCCTCGGTAGTAGTATCCGGCGCCATATGGTAGTGATTCGCCTGTGCTCTAAGGTTGCGACAAGGGTATGATACTGTGCACAATCCAAAGCTTTTGAAAAGTCTGCGTACATCACATCAACTCGTATTCTGTTATCCACCGTTTTGTTTCGGTTGTCTCTGCCTATCAGTAGATTGGATGTGCGGTTGCGTTTTGTCTCACCATGAGAAAGGAAACCAATAAAAGCGACAACAGTTGACGCACTACGAATTCGTGTCATACTTTTCAGTCTGAGTCCACATCTGGAAATTCAGATGCTATATGAAACTGTGCTCGTGATATGTATTATATGTTCTTCTGAGAGACGCTGTAATGGGACGAACTTTCCTACGGGGCCGTTTTTTTCTGACCTCTGATTGGCTTTAACTGATACCGTCTGGTTTTATAATAGAAAGTTTGTGATGCGTGAATGGATTGCTATCAGAACGGCGATTAGTTCTGTTATGTTGAGCTCCACCGTGTTGCATTTTTCACCCTTGGATTTGCAGAGCAGATATTCTTGTCTTTTCCTTTAAAGCACAATAATTGAAAGTGTATCCATTTGGAAAGTCACCGCTGGGCTCATGGTTTAATATTTGAAGGGAAACCTAACTTCCATCCATGGTATGCATCCAGATATAACTATATATCCTGCAGGAGATCTAACAACAGTTCCAGCGTTTGAAGAAGTAGTTTGCTTTGTCTTATATGCTTCAGAGTTCCCGTGGGTTGCTCTGAAAACTTTCCACCGCAGCTTTTTGTAACGCCACTCGAATTGTCTAATTTTATCCAATTTTGTCAGTCAGGACGCGTCCAGACATGGAAAAAGTACATGTGCAAGGAGTGACGCATCCATAAGGTCACCATCGGTACGACACGTCCGGAAAGCAGGTGCGTTGGCAGAGTTCACCAAACACGACTTAGCAACATGAGACCAGTGGAGTGGGGCGGAAATTGTTCACGACCGGAATACCGCCATTGGTTATACAGAACGAACAAGTGAACGACCATATTTGGCCATTTAGTCACCCTATATATTTGCGCAGAAGCTCCCTATGTTTTGTCCCGACAGTACAGCCGTGTCCCGAGTTCTCTGTCTTCTCCTCATCGCATAGTCAGTGCAGGGGTAACCAATAGACGGCCACCCACGATACAACAGTTTAGCAACCGGTGGCTACTTAGTTTTGCGCACTCTGCAACTTAGCCGCTGTCCTAATAATGCCTCATTCGATAGCAGTCGACTCTAAGGCATAAGCAAATGTCATGTTTGTTTGTAGGATATTTTGTTGTTGGCCATCCACCCCAGAGTTTGTCACTCGAGTGACTGTTCAACGACAACTAAACGGGCTGACTGGTCGTCAAGCCATAGATATTCGTTGTGCTTAGACTCCTATCTCTCCAGTGAATTGTGAGGAGCACATTGTGTTCTACAATGCTCGCCTTTGCGGATCAAGTTGGCGTTAATTTCAGCATGAAGTCCAGATTCGAAATTTTAAATAAATGGTTTCCAGTAAGTTGAAAGATGCACGAGGACTCCTCGTTCTCTTCCGTTTTATGGTCAGCTTCTTACACCGAGGCACTCCAGCCTAATTCAGAGTGCTCGTTAGCCACCCTCGCAACTCATCCCTTATCTTTGAGGTTTTTTCCTCTTGGCATTCCTCATAAACCTGCCTGAATGAAATTCTCCGAAAACCATTTCATATTTCGCTTCCAAATCTCTGAATGATCATACAGTAAACGATTTCGAGGTATCTTCGTTTGGAGAGGAATGATAGAGTTTCCATGAATTTATTGTCTTTTCTTCCACTAAACGGATAGTAATTCAGTAAATCAGTGGTTGGCTGATTTATCTACAGTAGATGAACCGCAGACAGCTGTGAACCAACTCCAAAATGGAAGGACAGTAGAATGGGACTTCCGGCGAAGCTGTCCAGGCTAGGAAAGCCGGCGGTGACAAACGAACTCTATCTACAATGTATAACCACAGCAGATGGGAGATGTTGTGCAAGGTGGCAGTGTATAAATGCAAATGAGGGACGGATAGTTAACGCTGATATAGCGTCCTATGCTTGGCATGCATCCTGCCCAATTGACTAGCCACTGGTCTTATGGAAAACCCGCTCATAGGTCGTTGTCGAAGCGGCCGAAGTGCGACTAACAATCCTTGCCTCAACGGAACCAACTACTCTACGGACTTTATGGTGGTCACTTTTGATTCACACAACAGAGGAATACCATCCGTCATGCGAAAGCTCAGCTCTTCTTTTCTCAAAGCCTCATACTGGGATGAAAGCCCGAGCGCGTAACCGCGCAACTATTCCAACCGAGTTCGATGTCGACACAGGAATTAGACAGTGCTTAACAGTTAACTGACAGCAATAATTCCGGGAGCCGCTCGGCATTTGACCGTTCTGAGGAAAGCGTCCGGAGAAATCAATGCCTACATTTAGACACCGAAACTGTATTGTATCAGGCTGTTGTTCTGCCTTCATTACCGATCGGCAAAGAAATATAGGCGCCATATAGACTACATGTTCAGGTATTCGACCGATTTGCTGGCACTGCGCAAAACCCATTGATTGAGATGGACAGACTGGACCCCTAAGGAAGAGCACTACCGAAGCCGAATACAGTTTGGTGCAAAATCATCTTTGGTTTGGCCGCTTGAGACGGATAGCCAGAATTCACATTTCAAAATTACTTATCTACAATCAGCTGAATAATGGAGTTCGAAATCCGGGACAATTTTTAGATAAGTTTAAAAGATTGACTTCTATTTAGGATCACGGGAGGATCTGGCATTCTCCAAAGAGACCCGCGGCAAGGCCTTCTATGAAGGCATGAGGAGCTTCCACACGTGACCAATCTGAGTCATTCGGCAGGGGCCCAGTAGCCTTAGTACAGTCCCGACTAAATGAACCTGCTTAAAATACAGATATATAAATCCTGATAGAGTTGGCTCCCTGGTTTTTGTTGTGCCCATTGGCTTACGTGATAAATCTGAACAACCGGTACCGTTGTTCCATTTTGTAATCTGACGTGCTGTCATTCTAAGGACGACAGTATCGCCAGACGTACAACAAATAGAATACTGGAATGCTGTCCAATGTCAGTTTAATAGTGTGCTAATGGGTGAACTCGGAGACAGCTGATGAACAGTGAAGTGAACTTGGTGCAGCAATATGCTGAGGGCTAAGTGAACTGGCGAATGATGACAGCTTCTCAGTGAAAACCAAGTTAATCTTAAAGCTAGCATTTCTAGCGCGACTGATGACTTGCAACAGCCCACTGCGTATTCGCTCGCCGACTTCATTCTCTCAGATCTATGTTGCCAAGGGCTAGCACGCAGCACACAAGTCCCCCATAAATCGTCTCTGCCTGTTCGGAATCGTGCCGGCGTCTATTGATTTTGCCGGCAAATCCTGTTCCGAAACTATCCATCCATCAGTGTGCGGTGGCTAGGCCATGGTTCGTGGACCAAGGCACAGCGCATTTTCTGTTGCCGATTCTTTACACACCGAACATGTGGGGCGCACTTGAACACTAGGTACTGGCACTGAATCACTGCCATTACTATCCATTTTAACGAAGTACAATTATCGAGGAACACACTCATTTGCAGATCAATTTGGTTTTCACGAGAGTCTCAACCGAATCTCCCGTTTATTTTGCTCTTCAACTGAATCTGCTGCACAAAGGCCGCTTCGCGCTTCGGTTCTCACGATATTCGAGATATCGCAGTATATTTTCATAAAGGAGATTACTCACAATTCCATTGAAAACACTTCGACATCCCACCGGTTTTCAAGCTTTGGATTGAACGTAACAAAATAAGTGGGACAGGGTAAAACCGGCCGTGGACTGTTAAAGAGTTTTCAGCAACCTTGTGAGTAGTTTCCTTTATGAAAATATACGATATATCTCGAATATCTTATAAACTGAAACATGAGGCGGCCTTTGTGCAGCACATTCAGTTGAAGAATATCATAAACGAGAGATTCAGTCGAATCTCCCGTGAAACCCAAACTGATTTTCCAATTGGTTAGAATTTACTAACCGGAAGGTCTGTGGTTCGAACCCGTCCTCTGCCTCCCGACCCTCCTGTCTAGGCTTGGGCAGCCCGGCAGTATCCCAGACCTCGTGCAACCCTCGGGTAGCATGGCAGTTAGGCACCATATGCCGGAATACCGTTGGCCTCACAGAGCTCTTTTCGCCCAGCCCTGTGCTGAGTGGGAGCGACCGAGAGATGGACAGTGTATGACCTGGCAACGAAGTACGAAAACACTAGCCCGTGAACTTAGTCTGGTCAGCAACTCCCGGGCCCCTGAATGGTAACCCAGAAATTCAACTTAAAAATGGTTAATGACATTGGCAGAAATATCCTAGTCGCATAGTCCCTGGCGTTCCTGCATCAAAGCCATCGACTTCAGTGCATAGCTATCCAGTTCTCAAACTAACTAGATATGTCATCGCCTTCAAGGCTTGGCTGTACGTCCCACACTTTTCCATTTTCCAGTGATCGAAACTGTAGCAGCTGGAACCATTGTGCCTATGGTGCACAGCTTATGGCTGACAAACTGAATAGCTCCTTTCCCGGTCTCATCAGCGAAGTGTCCACGGACAACGCTGTATGTACGATTCAACTATATCAGCAACCGCCTCCAATGCGCAGGTAGCTACCACAACTATGGCGATTCCGATCTACAATCAGCTAGGGGGTAAGCAGACACAACATATGGTGTGTTGTGGACTTCAGCTTCTCCAGGCTATCTCAGACCTGGCCGAACAAACTGCGCAGAGGCGTCAATCACCGGGTATCCGATCAAGGAGAGACGCATCTTCTCGGTCGTCCAGTACAATATGCACTCCGGCATATCTAGCTGCAGCGGTTCTTGCATTACCAAAGGAGCCAAAACTAGAAACTGAAGGGGAGCGAGGGGTCAGTCAGTTCGATTACAGTACTTGCGTACTGTGTTCTTGTTTCTGAAAGACAGGGTATATCAGTGCGGATGGACTGCAACGTACGAGTAAGAGCCGAACGTTGTCCTGCTGGCTTCAGTGTGCGAACAGTAAAGGCAGCTAAGTAGACCGGCTTTCGGAGTTTAAAAGTAGATCTCGAAGTGTCTAGGACTGCCATTGAAGTCGGACGTACAAATGCTGGAGTTGAATGCGGTTCATGGTGAACAAAGCAATCAGTCGATGTGTTGGGACCGCGAATTGGGCATGCATACTTGGGTGGAGAAGGATAGAAGAGGGAACACTTGAAAGTCTATAGAGAGAGGTGTCGGCAGTAGCATATTTTCGCTTACCCGCCTTACTGTATGCAGCAAGTAAGGTGACTCGGCTGGTGACACGACGCGACGACCGATGTTGCATAAGATTATTGTTAGTTGTAGGTATCATGGTTGTACGTGAGCTGCAATACTGGGAGGGCTCCCAGTCCTAGACAGAAACGCGATTGGTCCTCGACCAAAACTTTTACCTAAAAAACCTGACCACCAGGCAGTAGTATTTGGCGAGAAACGCGCATTGCCATTTTTACAGCATAAGTCACGACACATGTTCGAATCCTCAGCCTAGAGAGCTAGGGGACTGTTTGTTCAGAATTCCAACCATTGACCAACGTGGAATGGGAGACTAACAGTATTGCATAGACACCATCCAGTATAGCTCAACAGGTCGCCGAGTCACATAAACCATCACACCACGATAAGGCCTCCAATAGAAAACGTTATTTAGTGCGGATGGATTAGAGCTTATCATGGTGCAACCGTCTGGTCAACTGAATATAGTACAGTCCTAGTCCGACATCGATAATCTCCCGTAACATCGAGAAACGCAGTTCCTTCGGTAGTTGGGCTAGGATTTCGAACATCAACAGCAACCCATCCGTGGTACCATATACGTACCAGCATGCCACATTTTGATTGGGTTTCTGGACGTACATTACTTCCCAGGTTGTGTACAACTGTTTACGTCAGCGTTAGCACACCGGAAAATAATCTGGTTGGATGCTTTTGTGACCAGAAACTCTTATTGTGTAATGCGATGTTTTAATGCTTAGGGCTAACCATGAGTTCGATGAAAGTCACGGAAATCTCTCTGGCATAGATTTATATTGTCACTCTCCCGGTGTAATTTTCTAACAGAATACGGACCCCATGCGAACTCAATAATATATTATTACAAAAAATCATAATATGTCCTAAATAAATAGGAGTGACCGAAAAATGCCAAGTTAGCAGAAAAGTTCTGAAAGGCACGTTATGCTTTCGGAAATTCATGACATTCAAACTTCAGCTCCTTTTCATTACCTAATCGTTCTTTGGGAGTGCGGATCTGATTTGGCTCTCTATCCGAAATTCTCGCATCCGTTTTCCGTAAAACTCTTCTTCAGTAAGCTCGCGAATCTCCTCTCTTCCACGACAGTCGGCCTCAAATTGTGCCAGCTGTTGCATAAAATTCCAAGTTGGTTGCATTGAAAGACAGACATCCCTCAGATGCCTCCAAGCATTCTTTGTTTTTGACGGAACGAAATAGGAAGTATACCAGCACGCAGACATAGTACATCTTTGTCAGATGATATAGTAACAAACCAAAGCAAAGGCATCTTCTATTTCCTAGGGATCGTCGAACTGATATTCAAATAGAGAGAACAAGCGCTGATTTATCTCCCAACCAGTGCAGATCATGTATGGATATAAACATGATAAGACGGGAGAAAGCGAAAATCAAAATAGAAGTGTTTTCTATGCAGTTCAAGGATTAATTGAAACACAACTATTTTGTTCGTGTCCGTTTGGTTGGTATATTTGACTGCTTCATTTCAGTTTTGTTGGCTAGCTCTGTCCTACAACACCAACGTGTAACCTACTTGCCTAAAAAACGCGCCACTTAATCCCAATATATAATTGTCCGCAAGAGTCTAAATCACTCAGCTAAGTGCAGCTTCGTCCTACAGGTCAATTTCGTTGTGAAAGACTATTGAAAAGGCAAGCCTTGTGGAAATAACCTTGGTCCGATCTTTTCGCTGGATTGTTAAAACTATTTCACCAGAAAAGGGTTACTTACCTGTAGGCTCATTCCGTTGTACTTGATTAGATAAGCGATCGCGAATGCCACGTTCCGACTGACACAACGCTCAGATATTAGTAACACTCGACTACCCTCGAAATGTTTCTTTTCTGGAAACCACAGTCATATCATCAAATGTGAAAAATGGAGCTGATAAAACTTCATAATTCATTGCTACTGCAGATAACAAAAAGACTGAAATCACGACTAAACGACTACTGCTAAAGAAGAAAACACTCAAAAATATTAACTGCACTTGAGGAAGACAAGTCCGCCTTATCAATATGCCGGCACCCAATCAACATTGCTGGGCTGGAATTACTTTACGTGGGCATGTGGTCACGTGATCGTGCGAGATCATATGGACTTACGGGAACAGGACCGAATGTCCTAGGTTGTTATCACCCAACAAAACATCGTAAAGTGATGTCGAAGTGATTATTTGTTTAGTCATGTGCTACTTTAGTTTATGTTCGCTTTGCTCATAAATATGGTTAGCGGCGACATACTACTGTGGGTAGGAGCCAGAACTCTTGATCAGCTTGGCACAATGGTACATCTGATGAAGCCTGACCTGAAAAACCGAAAAGAGCTCTCATTGTTTGATGACTGTATCCGGATACCAGTTTGATCCATAGCCCCCAAGACAAAGCTTTTAAGCTACGGTCATCAAAGTGTAAAGTATCGGGGACTATAGAACTGGCTGTATGGCAACGAAGCATTAGGGTAGAACACTCATGTAGTGTTATCGATGGTTCTGATGAAACTGAACTTTAGAAGATATCTTCAACATTATTTACTTGAAGCCATCGATGACTGACAAGTAAAGTGGCAGTATGTTGTACATAATAAGCTATAATAGTGCAATTTTTGTAGGCTTCTGGACCAGACGTAGTTGGGTTAAGACAGCACTATCTAACGAGATGAGTGAATTAGATAGGTGCCGTGTAATTATTTGGGGACTGGTGGTGTCTATCCAGCCCCCGTCGAGAGCGTCTGTTAATTATTAATTTGTTTCTCAATCAGACAATAGGTCAGCTCGAACATGCAGCGGCACATCATGTTAAGAGCATCATTTTTCAAACATATTAAATCCAACTTACTTAGAAAATCGCAGGCCTGATTGAGTATGGGTAAAATATTTGTAGCATCTCGACTAACGTTGAATGACAATTCGTCACTTCTTGGACAGCTTCCATAGCTAATTGCAAGTTTAAATGAGAAAACGCACATCTGCACATGTAATAAGTTAAACGAGGTAAAAATTACTGCTACTGCAACGACAGTTTGCTTTTTGATCCAACATTTTTTGAGAAAAATAACGTTATGAAATGGTATACATTTGAAAAGGTGCCTATGGCTGAATTTGAAATACTGGGTATCCCTTTGGACGACGACGTGGAGGTACGGAACAGACGTTGGTTGATGCCATGCTCTGGTCTGGCCGCTGTTTGTTCTTCATGAGCAGCAGGAATTTCGTATATTCTTGAAGCCGACTCATCCTTTTTTGGAACACAGTAAGTAAGTATCTAACGATTTCGCCCTTCTTGGGGCTCACCAGGTAGGCGCAATCCCAGGGTTTTCGCCAACCGTATGTTCTATTTGAATCCACATTCGACTCATCGGCAAATCAATTTGGTTTTCACGGGAGAGTCAACTGAATCCCCCATTTGTGATGTTCTTTTCTGCTGCGCAAAGATCTCTTTCGAGAAACTGCAGCATATTTTCATAAAGGGAGCTTCTCACAAGACTGCTGAAAACTTCCACAGCCCACGACCGGTTTTACCCTTCTTGGATGGAATCCTGTCAACACCTAACAAACTGGCAATTTCGCAGAAATTTACATCCTCCAACCCGGGTATAGTTCACTTCAGTGAATATTTGGATGCCGCTTTCCGTCTACAAGAAGTTCGTATCTATCTGTCACATTGAGAGCCGGACTATCACCTGCGGTTACGTCAAACAGTTTATACAATCGGCGGGAATAAGGTATACTAGAATTCTTCACAGTCTAGGTATAACAATCATGACTTGTGGAGAATGCTGTCCACTTATCCACAGCAAGATGGTTCAAAAACTGATATTCAGGTGTGAAACGGTTATCTCCGATGCAAAAGTGTATCGAACGGTCCTATAATAATGAAGAATGTCGGATTCTACTACTGATGCAAGACGCTAGGGACTTATACTTGAAGCATGAGAAATAGGATGCAGTTTACAGTGAAATAGCCTGTTCAAAGTACACACTGGACGAATATTCCCATAGCTTGACTTTATAGGACGTCAGTTATGGTTGGTAATCAACATCTATGGTAGTCTTGGGGAGAGTTCCAACCAGAACTTCCTAGTGAGCTTTGAGAAGGTGAAGGTTTTTACTAGGTTCCTCGCCTCACATTGAACTTTTTAAGAGTGGGCATGTTTAAAGTGATTTTGATTTCGAAGCAGAAGTGACCAGCTCCAGTACGATTATGATGACGATATATGCTTTACTATTATCACTTGAACAGTAAGTGCTTCATCAGCGCGCTTGTACGGTGCGCGGCCCGATATACAGAGGAAAGCTATTCATTTTACTACTTAAGGTAATATGAAGTGCCTGTTATTATCACTAGATTATTATTATTAGTTTCGCATACAATGGAAGACACACGGCCATATTACAGAAGTACGTAATTCTGAAGCCGAATTAATTGCTTGGCTTTGGCGTATATGCTGCTAAAAAGCTGGATACAAGATCAGTCGATTCCTGTTGATTAGCGGAAATTTATTATCACTGGGCAATCAAGATATTAGTTAGGACGACGTTAGCATCGGTGGTACCGGTGCTTCACTGTGGAATACCGTTAATGAATCACAACACGAGTTCTCCAAACTAAGTGTTTTCAAGTAAGGCCTGAAATCTTGTGTAACTTGTGTGGCCAACAGTTCAATTTATTATGCTTATCATAATCTCTCATGGATCCCTTGGACTGTATGGGGCCCTTCATTTCATCAGCGTGGAACGGCAAAACCGGCAGTTACTGAAAGCTCCACGACTGTACTGGGAGTTTTATCTGCTGTCTTCTGAAGGAACTTAGATACAACAAAAATTGCATTAATGAAACGCCCCTGGATGATTGCACTTGCGAAAAACGCATTTCATCTTACACATATGGTTAAATTGAACGTCAAACTATCTTACCCCGAACAGTGTTAAGCTGAGCATTCTACTATAAAAGGTAGTTGCGCTCAAATAAGTCGGTCACAAACAATATACAAAGTACTGTCCTAGCAAATAAAGGTAAGATTTACTTACATAGGGTCATGATCCAAATCGCTATTCACATGAGCTGTTATTTTCATTTCTCGGTGCATTTTATGGTTAATGGCTTCTGCTCGACAGGACAGATACAGGAAACCGGGTATCACTTCTAGAGGATACGTTGAGAATTGTTCAAGTTCCTGGTAGATGTAACAGAAGACAGAACAAGATAATGGCTATTCACCACTCAGAATATCTAGTGTAACAACATCTCCGTTGGTAGTTAAGGTTTTTTTCGCTGAACGCAGTATTCTACCATGGCTTGCCGAAAGTGAGTTCCTCGACTGATTTCTTTGTTATTACGGTTTTCAACTGTACGTCTGCTCTTACGTGCTTGTGTAATTCCCGTGGCTTCTTTTTGTGCATGCTGGTGAGTGTCATAGTCTTTACATACGTGATGTCAATGCAGTCAAGTAGACCGCCACCTTGAAGTGAACTTTGTTTCAAAAGATTTAGAGACCTGGCAGAGCCCGGCAGGAGCACAGTGCTCAAAGTAAAATAATATGTATAGCGGCGTTTACGCTAAGTTTTTACCCGCAAACAGTTAACACCGGCCCTCAACCTTTCAATGAGTTCGGGCTTGTCACCTTTAAATAAACGGACATAAGTTTCTTTTTCACACTGGTATCTGTAGCCATATTGCATTTTATACTCGGGATCTGATGCACATAAATGGAGCTGATAAATCTCTATCAGCAGAATGCCTTTTCCAGATGTCAAAGTCGGCTACATAAATAGCAGCCTGTATTACACAAGTCAAAGTTGAATACTGAAATCTAGAAGTCTTGTTAAACCACACTCTTTAAAGCGTCATGAGACAAACATTGTGAAAAAAGAGCCTTTTGGTTGAACTAACTACAAATCTTCGGCTTTGGTAAAAAGTGCCTTGGAGCCGATAAATGCTGATACATATGTAAGTAGTAACCTGTGATACCAGTTTCTTACTCCACTTTGACTGTTCTCAAGGCAAAAATACACTACACGAAAAGGGCAAAACACTAAAGATCCAGCCATGATGGAGTAAATTACGCATAAAGTGTTAAGTGGTTACCGTTATGACAGTTGTTTTTCCCAAACGTCAATGTTGTGCCGCATTTCTGAGGAGCATTTAAACTTCTCCAACCGATGTTAGCCTGCTTCGCTGACTTCCAAGCAGTTTTGGGTGCACTGCTTTTTCGTTTCTTTTAGAATCCCTCAGTATATCCAAAAACTTATAGACTTCCATCAAGAGAAATCCAAAGCAAATTACATTATTCGTGGGTATGACAGTGATGAAACTTGTTAGACCAACAAATCGGCACCACCATTAGCAGTAATGCTTCGGTGCCGCACGGACGAGTGAACGTATTTTAATAGCCGTGTGTAGGCCAAGGTTACTTGCCGAATCTTCTGTCGTCATAACTCCAAATGGATTGGAAAAGAAGTTATTTGACTGAGTTAATTTTGGAACTAATCCTAGCTTATTTACATGGCCGAGTGAGGTAGTAGACAAGTTTGTCTACCTGGTCAGCTCTATCAGTCCCGATGGTCTCGCCAGAGCTAATATTTTCATCCGGATTAGAAAGACCGGAGCAGCTTTTGTGAACCTGCGACACCTGTGGCGTAGGGGTGACATTAGCTTCTCTGTCAATGGTCAAGTTTACAATGCTTCGGTGCGCTCCATATTACTATATGTGCCAGAAACCTGGCCGCTGCGCGCCGATGACGTCAGAAGACTTTCAGTCATTGACCATCGATTTCTTCAGAGAATTGCTCGAGTATGGTTAGAACACCGGATCAGCAATGCTGAAGTACGTCGAATGGTATTCGGAAGAAATAACTCACCCTCAATAAATGAACTGATCACACTCCATGGGTTGCGCTGGCTTGGCCACGAGCTGCGTCTGCCAGTCGACCGATTTCCTCGAAGGGCTCATTTTGCACAACCACGTGAAAGAGAGCCAGAGGTGGTCAAACAGTGACCTGGCAGCGAATTGTTGAAGCCACTACCTGCAAACTCAGCTGCGCTGGTCATTGTCGTCTTCTTGGATGGGGACCCCGAGACCGGCAACATCAGTGATTAGAGACATTGTCAGACATGAGCCAGTCGCGCCCTCAATGGCGCTCATGTATCCAAGTCGTTGCTCCTTTTACAATTCCCCCATTTAACAGTCCACTGACGATGCTGTATCTACGCACTAATTTATCAGCTCCGGCCTCCAATGTGAAGCCACCTGCCCCACCTCCCAAAATCATCGATAAGCGAAACTGTGACAGCTACAACCACTGTACTGCAAGTACGCGGTTGTTACAGCTGACAACGATGATGATGCTATCAATCGGTTGGACTCAATATGAAATCAGCCTTTAAAGTGGAATCACTATTAAGTAATTTTTTCTAGGTATAGTTTGAAATGAGCCTTCACACGAAAAATGACGTAGACTGGATGGCTCTCCAACATTAATTAACCTTACAGTGTGTGACATAAAGCTTCTTTTTTCTGACAAATTTTAGTTTACTGTTTCAACCTGTAACTATATATCCGAAGGCTTACAAGCAACTGGCGATAGGGACAAGATCAGCTGAGACATCAGTTCACCATCGGTTGGTAATTCGCAAATTGCGGTATTATAAAGCCAGTTTCTACGTTTTTCCACATACTGGGCAAAAACGACAAAGCGTTTACACCGAGTGTCCAACTTAGCGGCGGGTTTTATTAAGTATTCTTGGGCTGGTACTCTAAAGAATCTAAATATTAATATGGGTGATCTGAAGGCTGTTTGATTCTCCGTTTAAATGATGAAAAATCTTGGATGTAATTGGAGACAAAAAACATTGGCTGAGCACAGCAATTTTAACTAAATATATCGTAGAATTACTTTTTGAACACCCTTATAACTGCGTTAGCGCCCAAATAAGCTTGCCATTTAAGCCTGAAGGAACATCACTTATAAGCTACGTGAATGTCTCATTTACTACACAGTCAGTTTGCTCTTCTCATGGTCATTCGAATGGGCGCAGTCCCCTGGCTGTGTTCTGTTTGGACTGTAAGAATATGCCCAGTGCACCCAACTACAAATCAATTTAGTTTTACCAAAATAGGCAGCTGAATCATAGGTGAAAATCTCTTTTATTGTATTCAGCTGAGTGTCAGGCATAAAGACCGCCCCATCCCGGATATCATGCAAACTGCAGCATGAAGTCATCTTCCTATACCACATTCAATTCACTTACGTCCACATTAAAAGAAGTGCACGTTAGTGTACTTCTTTGCTTATGAATATGAATGTGAATATGAATATATATATGAATATATGAATATATATATATGAATATATATATATATATATGAATATATCTGCTTTGATCGACAAATGTCCTAAGCAAGCTAATCACGCTGAAACAGTTTAAACATCTGTTGGTAACCTTTTTATTATGAAGGGATACCAATGGCTGGGTTACACCTAATTGCGCCCCACCTCTAATAGCTTAAGCTTGTGCTGTTACTCAAAGAATAATAATGCTCAAGGGGATGCAATTCGTGGCAGTGGGTTTCGACGGTGAAGAGGCCAACTTTGCCGAGATGCTCAGATCTCTGTGCTTATTCATACTTGCAAGACGTATGGCTTTTGTTAATTCAAATGAACCATGCTATATAGTACCCTCAATTCCGTGGCTTCAGATAACAAGGACTTTTACTTGTAGGTGGATAGGTGGGAACCTGCTAAGTTCAGATGCGGCTGGTAGCAAGTAACCTGCTGGAGGGCTTTCGATGAAAAGCCAGAAAGTATATTGGCAAACTCGATCGAGCTATAAGGAAACTGACAAGCTAACAGCTCACTGGACGTCGGAAGAATACGGATCAAGTGAATAAAGTCTCGAAGCATGAACGGAACTGATTCAAACCGAATTTTGCCAGTTGCTACCACAGTTGGAACAGTGTTCCAGTATGGTAAAAATTATGGTTTGATACGTTCAAATGGTCTGTACTTACGCGAGGAAGGTAAAGTACCTTCTGTGTTCGCAAGAACGGATAGAGCCTTGAGAACAGTTCATAGCCACCTGAAACAATGAGCATTTGTGTTCCAAGACGAAGTCAACCAACCCTGCAAAATTTTAACAAACTTTCTGCTTCCATTGGCATATAGAAACTTTGCGGCTTCTATGGCGTCACCTGAAAGTGCACATGGACCTAAACGACGTGGCTACTTGACTGATCAAGCGCTGTCGTGCATCCATCATATACAATCACGTTCCACCGGCATTCCAAATTTATTTCATACGGGAGAACAAAATTGTCTTTATTATCCTGAATTTTAGTTTCAAGCTAGCGTCGCTAACTTTTTTCAAGCGCTTCGCGAGCACAATATGTTCCTCATTGTAGTCTTCTTTTGTGCGAACATCTTTCCAGATAGTATCGTGAGTCAGTGACTTACCAAAGAGCACCATATAGTAAGGATTGCTGACAAATGCATTGTGCGAAAACTGGTTGATTATGTTATATAACTGTGTCGGCTGAATCAACCGAAGTTCGGGCATTTTGAATTTCCGCGCATTTCAACCTATGGCTACTGTACTCTGATAACGTGCACCCGTAGCAAATGATAGAGTTAAACATGTCAGCTTTGTGCCGCTGACATAAGTTATGGTCTAGCCCAGGTCCTCCCACTGTGGTTCTGGAATAATATCTGATTCTTTGTAGACCAAAGGGGCATCCGCTTAACACTATCCACTCCTGGTTTGATAAACCAGATCGATGTTTTGCCGGCGCTAAATATTCGCACAATGGATTTGAAATTTCGAACGCTATGACGGCTTCATGATGGAGTAAGGCAAAGTCACAACTGAGTCAGGAGTATCAGTCCAAACTTTTGAACCCCATTCAGTCAGCCCGGGGGTCTCAGCAATGCTGGGAACTAATTCCACCAGATTTTTCTCCAGGGACACTGCTTCAGTGGACAATAAAATTTGGTGTGTTGCAAAAATGTGACCGCAGATTAGGGTGGTTTTCGGTCTGAGAACACGCGCAACAAAACGCAACATATTCGCGAAAAAGGTTTACTCCATTTGTCAAAGTTTTGCAGCTAACAGAATTGTGCTGCTAAGGGGACCCGGTTTTGCCCAAGATAATTTTTATTCACTTCAGCCCATGGCTCGCGTTCGCCTAAAATGCCCAAGCATAAATAAGGTTAAGCACCAATTTTTGCTCTCTCATCACTGGATGGTGAGAACTTCATTAAAAATCATCTGCAAATGATTCGAGCATGGTCCCAAATGTAGCGTGGACTATGTTTGGGGAAGTCTTATTCCAGGTACCTGTGGCCTGTATCCGACAGGAGAAAAACGCTGTGTAATAAAAATGTTCTTTCGGTGAGAACGATGATCACTGGATCAGTGGTCAACATTTCACCAATAAAATCTTCCTCAGACAGGAAGTAAGTGAGAGTTCTTTTAGGAGTAGATTGCCAGAGCTCAGTGATCTCCAAATTGTCTCTTTGAAGTAAGCAAGTTGGGAAAAAGAAGACTGATCCAGTCATCAGTTGGAATGTTCAGCCGTTTCTCTCTAGCCATTTTCTCTCTCATCCCTTCCTTAACGGTGGTCAAGTTTTCTTGAGCTCTTTTTTCCTGCCCTAGCTCCTCCGGAGACAGGCGTGTCGCCGATAGAGCTCATTTTCCTGGCCAACTGGAGGGCGCGGATGTCAACCGTATATCAGTATTGTCTGTAGTCGGCTGTACGGAAGCACGATGAGCTGGCAACGCCATTGGCAGGTTCACTTCCCAGTCACCTCATTCGGCCGCCAGCCATTCCATGGCCGTTCGGTTTTTACGTTCGGTTAGACCATTTGTTTGCGGGTAATATTGTGCCGTCCTTTTCCGCCTAATGCCCAGCTTTTGCAAGCGATTCCTAAACTTTTCGCCCTCAAACCAAGGCCCCTGATTGGTTAGGTTCACTCTTGGCACTTAACGGTGTGCCACGATGTGATGCATTACCACTCCGCCGACCGCCGATTTGGCACGAGTGCTGCATCGACCCACCGTGACGGGTGCTCTGTCATCGTCACGATATATCGATTTCCGCTAGTCGTCAGCGGATCATAACTTGCCGATTTCTGGGACAGCTATGGGTTCCATGGGATGAGTCGACCCTGGCGTGTTCCTTTCATCAGTTGGTACCGCTTACAGGACACTACATAACCCATCACCTCACTTCTCATCCCTGGCCAGCGGACACTCTGCCGAAGTAACTTGTACGTCTTGGTGCACGATGTGTCTGTGTCATCTCAGGGCAGTCTATGACGAGCTTCCATGTCAAGACACGAGGTCCCGCGAGCAGCACAACATTCAACTTAGTTGCATTCCAGGAAATTATGCCAGCTTCACTCTGACTAAACCCATCAAAGCGATCCTGAAACGTTTTCGATTCCTTATCTCTCGCTCCGTTCTCAATACTACTTCCATCCGACAAGGTTGCTGCAACCTTACGTAACACAGGGTACTGCCGTTGGGGTTGCACCAATCTTCCGGGACCCAGTTTTACGATGAAACTTTTAGCCCCATTCATGATCCCGGGGCCCCATGTTTAGCCTCTGGTCTTCACAGCCAGTAAGCCGATTGTTTCTCCTTCCATGACACTTGCTCGCTCGTGGAGTCACACCCTTGCAACCAGAGTGCCCAGTGCGCAAGCTTTAGTTGAGCATCTCTGGAGGTCCTTATCTACTTCAAGTGCTTTCAACCTGTCTCAACACCCTACATTTATTCAAGCAGCTGTGTCCTTTACCTGTACAACGCCGGATACTGGCCCAACCTTCTTTCTTAGTGGTCGTTTACCTCTGTTCAGCGTTAGTCAGGATGGGACTGGTACGTCTGACAACTCCATTTCTCTGCTTTAGGTTTGTGTGACACCACGATCACCAGCCTCCGTTGCAGCAGTGAACATCCCTTCGACCCTGGGCAGTTTGAGGGTCAGTTGCTGATACAGCATCCGCACTTTGACATGCTCGAGAGCTTCACGTGCCTCCATGGTCCATTCGAATTTGCTGTTTTGCCCAATCAGGTCGTATATCGGAGCAGCGATCGTGTTGAAATCCTTGACAAACTGGCTTAGTATGTTGGTCGTCGCATACACCTCTTTGAATTGGGAACAGCACAAAACTCGATCTTTGCCAATTATTCTGGCAGTGAACTAACCTCTCCGTGACCCACTTTATGCCCAACGGTGTCACCGAACTCCGAGCTGTGTCTTGGCTTCATTTATCTTCAGTATAGCCTCCCGGATACGCTTCAATACGGCCTTCAGCTGAACTACATGTTGTGGTTCTGAATTGCTGTATAAAAGGATATCTTCTCCGTATACGACGACATTCTTGAGTCCCTTCGTTAAACGAAGCATCAAGCGCCGGAGTGTGAATGGTGCCTGAGATAAAACCAACGGCATCCGTCTACATTGATATTAGGTGTCCCCAACCGTGAACGCCCTTTTCTCCCGGTCCTCCGCCTTGAGGGATTGTTGCCAGTATCCGGAACGTAAGTCAAGCACCGTGAAATATCGGGAGTGCTGGAGGGAATCGAAAATCTCCGTAACCGAAGGCACAACGGTCAGTTAATTCAACCGCCGGAAATTCACGCAAAGCCTGTATTTTTCGTTCGCCCTCCTTACAAGCCAACCGGGAAGTTGTACTCACTATTGGGTTCTTCGAGTGTGTCGTTGTTCAACATCTCTAGGAATCTTTTATGGGCTTCCTCACGTAGATGAAGCGGCAATTGACGAGGGCCGTAAGGTTGAAAGCATTCAGACGAGAGGACTTCGTGTTCAATCCAAGGGCAGAAGCCAAACGGATCTTCCTCGCCAGTGAACAGTTCGGAATTCCCCTTAACCACTGACTGTACCGAAGGCTCGTTACAGGACGGAAACTTTCGGACATGCAGCTCATTCACTGTGCTTTGATAACCTTCAAGCTTGATTGCGCCATACCTTGTCGCAGCTTTCCCAGCATTATGTCAACCTCGGGATCCTTGCCCTTGAGAAAATCTGCCAGCAATATTGTCTGTTCTGTGTCTGTGCTGATCAAGAACACGCGCTGCACGGACTGGAAACCTAGGCGTGTCGAGTGCATTGACAATTCGTCAATCTTCGGTCGATATCCACCCACTGCTTTCACGATTAGCAAGCATGGTCTGCATTCAGCTTGGTTCCCCCTCCACCTCAGCGATACCCCTGCGCAGCGATACCCAGCACAGCTCCCTCTTCCCGTCTACCTCGATAGCGGCATGTATGGTAGCCCATGTCACTGAGTCAATTGCGATCCACCGGAGAAAAGAGGAGTAAACCAAAGTTTTATTATTTACAGGTGGTTGGGTACGGGGGCACTGACTCTCCCAAAGGTCGGACATGCCAAACTTGGATCCGCTCGATCGAGCGCACCTCTGCGGTTGCGTCTTAACGGCTGTAAGCTGTTCGGCGAGTTGGTAAGCTTTGTACTTTGGGTCATTCACTTTTGAATCCCTCCTGTTCTCCTGCGACTGACAAGTGGCCAGTGGCGTCTCAGCCAATCTCCGTGCCAGATGCACCAATGGCCTCATACTTAATTGGCTGTTGCCCTCGATAACAGCAAGTGGGCACGAAGCGCCGGCTACACACCTTCGACGAACTGGTCAGACGCAACTTCTGGCGCGAAACTCGGCCCAGTCTCGGTAAGGCCCGACCCAGCGACTGCTGCTGGCTGGAAAAGGACACCGTCAGGTCACCTACAGGTTCCATTCTGGCCATCCTGAACCACTTCGTAGACTCCTGGGGGTCGGCCGGTTAGTCGAACTCCGCTGCAAGAGCTTCATATGCGGCGGCCCAGTCCATCTTCCGAGGCCCGCTTCTGGCCGCAGCAATGGCCGCCTTCGCCCGGCCTCTAAGGAAGGTCTTCAGCGCCGCAAAATTACCCCGGTCAACTTCCAGTCTAGGAGCCGCCGCAACCTCTTCGAAGTCCTCCAGAAAGGCCTGTTATCCTCATCCTCAAGGGGTTGTGGCTATGGAATCCTATTCCTTGTCCTGGCACCGACACCAGATGAAACGAAGAGGGCCTTCGCTGAGGAGTAATTTGTTAGAAAAAACCAACGGAACAGTTACAGACTACTAGACAGGAAGCGAAATTCTCATGTACATCTTGTTTATAAAAACTGAATATCCGTGTTCTTCTCGAACGTGTTTTCCTGAATTACCATGGATACTCAAAGGATGTCACTCATATGAGAAAGAATGGTACAAAGCAGCTCCACGATTTCCGCAATAAATCTCACTTTTAAATAGAAATGAAGCAGATTAACGAGAAACATACTACTCGCATGCCCCATGCGTAGTAGCCAGCGTTACACCAGTATAGGTGCAGCATCATTTTCATTTTTGAATCGCAGTATTATTGGGCAACACAAGGATGGTTTGACTTTCGGAGTCGTCGAACTGTGCAGACGGTGTCAAGCATGTGACGTGCTGTAACGAGGGCAGAGTTTATGAGCTCCACCGGGATGGGATCGGGGGAATTGTACTCCACGATCTGGGACGGCACTCCATACAGTGAAAAATCTCAGAGGCAAGCGCGTTGATGGGGATCAGCGCTTTTTCAAGATTTGACGGATCACGTGTAGCTTCAGGAGTCAAAAGCTAAGCAGTTGGCTGCATTTCTTGGAAGGCGGCTTGTTGGATATCCATCTTTGGCACGCAGCCTCTGGGATTAACCAAATCTGTTTGAAACCGAGGTTCCTTCAAAAAAGAGAGGGAAGAGAGCTGCTGGATGGAAAAAGAAGGGATATATCGGTTAGTACTATCAAAAAGTCTGGTGTGACTCGGAGCGCTCCAGCATCCGCTTCTTTTGAAATAATGAGGGATGGATGGTGAGTATTGGGAGTTCAACAATCACTTTGAGGAAGATGGGAACGGTGGCAACATCTCAACTTATCAGTTGCAAGCAAACTTGGGATGCTTAACAGATAGGGGAGATCACAGTAAAGTCCGTTTACAAACGTGAGGACGAGTGCTGGGATTGGGTGACTGAGATAGAGGTCCCTAGGTGCTAACGTGGTTGAATATGATATGGTTTGGTGTTACAGCAAGGAAGTTAGAAGTGTTGTTTCTGCTGAGATATGGGACAAGTGTTTGGAAGTAGAAAGGCGCACTGGGGCTGGTAGTGGTAAGTTCAGGTATCAATAAAGCTCATTCATATAGGGAAGAGTTAGAGGGAGGGCAATTGCAACTATCGACGGAGTACCTAAAACGCTACGGGCAGGTTGGAGTCCCAAAGAAATATTTTTCACCATCTTACATTGAGATTTTAGTTTTGCAAGTGTTTTTCGGTGATTTGCGTAAGAAACTTGACTGAGTGGTGAATGATCGAACCCAGAGGGTCACAGCGGTCATTTAGCAGCTGATTGTTTAGGGGCGAATCCAACAGCGTCAAGGCTCAAGGTCTGTAGCTGAAGACATGCAGTCGGTGGTCGAGGACATTGCACCTCAAACCATATTGTCATCCACGGACACTAACTCAGGTTTTGTGTGCTTTGCGACTTGCGGAATAGTAGCAATGACCGCTGGTTTGCAACAGATCGTGCATCATATCACGACAACTGCTGTGATGGTAAACGCTGACCACTCCTTTGTGACGCTCTTTAGACTTGCCTGCAAGGTAAGTGCGCTGAACAGCAATTTTTGGTGCCTGGCCACCAGCCTGTCCGAAAGCCTAAGGGTTTGCTTGATGAAAGTTGTGCAAAGAAGGTATTTCGCGATGTTGTCCTTGACTGAAGTGCAGATCCGAAGCACGGTAGTCTGCGTGCATCCGTATTTTCGGGTCCAAGGAGATTGATTGACGGCCGTGAATTAATAGAAAAATGCTAGTACTAGTGCTGTAGAGCGGCAATAAGAGGAAAGAGACGACGATGGCTCCGTGTGACGCATGTAAATCCCATAAGTTCCAGGCTTCCTGCCCGTTGGTAAGACATCATGCACTTCAAGTAAGTCTTGAAATTCTTGAAGCCTGATAGTCAGTGTGTTAACCAGCTGATCGATGTGGTCTGCATCTAGCTAGTTGATCAGGCGTGGTGGATCTCTAGCCGCACGTTAGTCGTATGCGACAGCTCGGTTCTTCAAGATGTCCGCTATGATCGAAGCTGGTACCATGTAGTTGGGTGATTAGGAACCGTGGAACCCCAGCCGCATGTTAGTTATATGCATCGGCCAAGTCCCCATTGCAGGAGCGTGCAAGCAAGGAAAGCCTCCTTCATTTAGAACTGGATTCATTGGTAGACGTTGGGATGAGCAGCTCACCATGTACACTTCTACCGGACACCCATCTGGAAACCTCTCGTAGCGAGAAAAAAGGAACATGGTATGCTCTGCATTTTGCAATAGAGCGCCATGCCATCGGTGAACTGCACCTCAAAATTCTCTCCATATATCAAGCGGTGCACGATCAGCGTGCATCCTGAAGCTAACTTTTTGTTAACTAGTGCCATTTTTCCGGAACAAATAGTCCTGGGGCCAAAAACACGAGTCCTAATCTGGGATGTTGAGTGGTAGATACAAAGCTGAATTTGGTCACGGGAGTGACACTCCGTCATATTTTGTGTCTACGAGTACAGTGTGGGCTCTAGCAAGTTCCAAGAATTAATACAACAGCAGAACCACCTGCAACCTCCACCGATCATGAGCTTTTCACGTTTGACCACAAGTCGCGCTCTGTTGTTACACTTATATACCAATTTTCCAATTCGAGGTCGTTGATAACGCTGAAGATTCACACAAATGAACAAATCATCCATACCCAGGATTTGCAAAGAGCCACCTTAGAAAAAACATTCTTAACTATGAAGTGGTAACCATGAAATCATTGTTGTTTCCGACGGATTCAGGTCATTTGGCGGACACCAATTTAGGACTTAACGTGAAGTTTCCGGAAAGACGATGGAAGTTTTTGTGGAGAAATTTGTTTGTTTGCTTGTTTTTACAGTATCGGATTTGTAAATATTTTAAGTATGTACATATCAAAGAAATCATCTGAGACTATGTGTAGCGCACACTGTACAAGTGCTGCAGATTATTACCGAGACCCTAAATGGACAGTGCTGTGGCCACTATCGGAAATCAATTTTATTAAGCAACAAATAAATGTCAAAGTGATGCGGTTATAAGGTGTTCTACCAACTGGTCAGATCTAGGCATATACAAAAATGACTTTGAGAATGGGAACGGTGCTATGAATGAAGGTTTAATCGAACACTTGTAGTCCCCGCTCAGCAGAGGTCCAAACCATGTTGAATCCCAGACTGTACGTAAAAGAAGGCAAAATCCCAGCCAACATTAGCCGGTTGTAGGATTCTTTGGAGAAAGGGAGTCAGAAATGGAATGTTCCGTGCAATTCACTTGGTTATTACTTCTAAAAACTCGATTATTTATTCTCCAAAACCCACCATATTCCTTGTTTGCAGACATGCGGGGAAACTTTCATTGGCACGATTCCTTTTCATTTTGATTTGGGCCATTACTTTAGTTCCTTCGGTTGCTGATAAATTTGTCTACCAGGCCCTATCTAAATTTAGACAAGCTCAATCAAATGTAAAGCTAAAGTTAACAAGACTCTCTATCCGTGTTCGTTCCCCGCGAAGTGAAAAAGTTCCTGAGACTAAACTCCTTTAGTAACACTCTACCAATGTCTGGCGCACAGTTGACGAAGATTCTGTAAACAAAATAGATAGGGATCAGTGGGAATGAAAGATTAATAATGGTGGGAAAACCTTTGAACATCTGACTGTTCGAGAGACGACTGATGTAACAAATGGTTAAAGTAAGTTTTGGAAGCCGGGGTAAAGCCCGATAAAAAATGGTTGGGAATAAGTTGACTGTTTATCACTCATCTCTGTTTTTGCATTTTCCGATTGATGTCAAGCACAAATATTCATGATAAGCCGGGTTTTGCGATAAAGTTCAACACTCCGGTACACAAGCCATTGCTGGGGATAGATGCAAATTTTCGTCATTTCTGAAAATTACAAATGTTAACGTATCATGTAAGCAAAGAATAACTCTTCCTAGTGGTCGGTCTGACAAGGTCATTCTTGGGGATATGATTCTCCCCAAATGCGCTCCCCGAATACCGTTTCACAGTTATAAATACATTACATATTCAATACACAATGCTTATTTTATCGTATAATTTAGGAATGTGAACATACTGTGACGTTCCGCCCACTAAGCCATTTATGGCGTAAGCCTCCAAACTTCGTCATCAACACCGATTTTGGATGTATGCTTGGGTGTAGTGAAGAAGTCTTTTTCGTTGGTCACCCGATTATCTTACGCGACTGAACAGGATGCTTTAAGGTCCAGATCGGATAATGAATCGGAGCCCGGTTCACAAGTAACTCGGGTCAACTGTGTCAAGTCTACCTTCCGAGCATCCCTTCTTTTTCTATGAGTGCATCACTTCAACCTAAATTTCCATTTAACCAGATCGGTAGGTAGACACAGTGTCCAATAAGTTTCAGGTGTTTTACGTCATTGTGAACAGTAAATCCGCTGGGCAAAAATGCTGCTGCCTTTAACTTCAATGTAGATATTGTGAACGTTTGACTGTGCACTTTTTGGTCAAACGCTAACTTTAAAAGACTGGTTAGCTACTGCTGAATGCAGAAGGAAGAGGTATATCAAAATTACCTAGGATTATGGGTTCAGACTCACATGCAGTTCCAACTACTGTCCAATTGATGAGTCCCTTGAGGAATGTGATAGATCGAGCATATCAGAACATCATCTCGGTAATCTCATACGATTTTAGTATCATGTAAACACGTATCTGCAGTTGACCTCAATCCGCGGCTAAACATTTTAACAAACTACCCTTAACAGATTCAGATGCATTCGTGGCATGGATGCACTGCTCCCACAAGTACCTATCTAAATACATACATCCAACCAACCCTGTCTGTGCGTCTTGTCCATTTCTACCTTTGCTTTTCGGATTCCTCAAGATTGTTGACCTCCGGTACCACAGCAGATGACACTTATTGGGATTTTTTTATCGCTGGGAGGTTTTAGCATTGTCTTCTTGACAGGGATATTGTACCACTCTTACTTATCATCGGTATATATGTATATGATTCAAAACTGTTAGTTTTAGCTATTTCTTAGGCTCGGGGTGATCTACCGCCCACACTGCATATATAGTTGAGGCTCGCGTGAACCATTTTGTTTAGCCTGTTTTTGACCGTGCAATGGGTCAAAGATATACGGTCTATCAGGCGTCGACTTCGGTTTGGGTGCACTTCAAATGCCTACTAAGAAGTCGCTCCAGCTGCTCATAAATATACTCAGAAAACCTCTGCACCATGCATCCAGTGGTTGCAGAACTGATACTGTGACGCATCTGATTGTTCGATCGCCTTGACAACCTAGCAGTATCCCATCCCTCATACTCCTTTCTTTGGCATAGCAGTTCGTCACTAAAAGGATGCTACAGCTGAACGATTTTTTTCTTGCACACTAAATAAAACTCGTTGGTACTCAAACATTTTATCAGATGACGGATGCGCGGAGCATGTATATTTCGAGATTTTTCTACTATTGTGCCTTTTTCCATGATAGGGGTTTTCTACCAAGACAAAGACCTATCGTTCCCCCACTGTTTCCTTTAATTAGGCCCAAAGTGATCCAATTGTTGGACTGTATTTCAACATCTTCTTCTGTCATCTTGTGACGCCAGTAACCAGATGTCCAAGGATAGAGTTCAGCGACTGTGAAACATTCCTTTCTTCCACCAGCTCAATTGGGAATCATATGTATGAGTGTTAAAGGTGTTCTAGTTTTATTTCCATATCAGGAAACGTTTCACCACAGCAAACTATTTTTCCGCCGCAAAGGGCGTCACTTATGCTGTAACAGTGATGACTATAAACTCAAAGCTATTTTGTTACCAGTCCCTTTTCTTAGCTATGACATTATTGCATTTATTTTTCTGATGGCTGTTATTTTATAAAAAAAAGCCCCTTTCTCATGGATTACACCGCTGTGTGACAAACTACTTACAAGTATCACAAAATAACGGAACATACATCTTTTTAATAGTTTCGTGTAAAACATTTTTCACTGTAGGATAAACATCTTATAAGTTCTGTTTGGCCCTATTGGAAAGCATGGAACTTCAATTAAATGATTTTGCGAATGGTGGAATAATTTTTACGGAAAAATGCTGTTTTTACTGCAGCAAAACAAAATCCCCCCAAATCGTATTGGGAGCCAGCTTTCACCCACCAAAATAAGAATATTATTCATTTGTAACCTCTGGTCAACAAAGTATGACAAACGATAGCGCAGACTATTCAGGGCCGCACGTCTTAATTAGAAGCATGCTATTTTCATGGTGATGTTAATTTCTACCATCTCGTTCAACGTTACATCGCGTACACTCAACCATACAGTGCGCAAATAAACCAGAATTACCTAATTTTATGTGCTCAAAAGCAATCGTTTCAGATAAATTGTTGATAGTGTAAGATTTGTGAATTTCCCACGGAGATTTTTACCTGAAAATGAATCCATTCCATGTTATAAATCTAGGAAGCAGTGTGCAGTTGTTTCATTGTTATTGGGAACCACCAGAACTGTGCATCTCAAAAAACTTTGGGGGGGTTTAGAATACGGAAACCCCGGGCTAGTGGTGCTATTACTGAAAGGAAGAAGGTCTTCGCTGAGGAGGTATTTATTAGAAAAATCCAAGTGAACAAGTACAGACTATTGGACAGGGAAGCAAGACTCTCACATACATCTTATTCTCAAAAACTGAATATCAATCTTCTCCCTGAACGCGTCTTCCTGAACTTTCCTAGAAATTCATTGACTGTTGCTCAAGTGCAAGCAAACGCGAATCCACCAATTCCCTAACAGATCTTACTTTTCCAGAGACGTGAAGCGGATTTACGGGAAACATGCCCCATCATTGGTATCCACCGTTACACTGTTAGTGAAGGGAAAATCGCAGGTATGAGGGGGGGTTGCGTAGAGTTGTTTGTATGTACGCAACCCCTATTATCTAAACCTTAGAAACATATCGTAGAAAAGGCCTTCGAAATGTTGAAATTTGTGCATTCTTTGTTTTAAAATATCTACATTTGATGAGGAAGGAAAGAGTTATTCACATATGGATCTTCTTTTATAACGAAAGCAGTATTTTACCACTACGGAATGCACTGATGAAAATAAAACAAGTTCTGTGCTCAAGAAACACACTGATGAGCCTTTCCACATTTAACTTGTAACACAAAGATTGCTGCTTCGCAGATCATTTGTTCCCATGCTTAGCTATTAGGAGTGTGTGCTTTAGTGAAGCGTTAAAGGGTTTCGTATGTTTATTGAGCGCATACGCTATAATCATATTCAGGGACCACGTAAATTAACGTAGGACAAAGACAAGATAAAATATGGAATGATGACTTTGTGTTTGCTTCGTTTTTTGGTCCCAACATTCAAGTAGACATTATTTTTGAGTGGGGAATAGAGCGTGTGCGGGGCGACTAGTGTCCTCCATGAAGAAAATAGAAGAAAGTAGATCAAAACTCATAGTTCTTTATGTCTGCAAGCGATTTGTATCAGCGGATTACAGGTGTCGTGAGGTCTCAGGTTTTTATCTGTAGATTATTGCTTTGATAACCAATCATTATTACAAAGTTGACCAAAATCAGTAGTTCGGACAAATTAGATTGCTCCTCACTAAAAAGGCGTGCTGCCCTACTGAATGTTAACAATCAAGATTATTTTCTATCAAAATGTCAAACGTGTCCAACGGAGAGCTCAACCCCCTGGTGCTGCCGACTGGGTAGTCCAGACGTCAGTTTGTTTGAGGTAAGAGTTCAGCCACTCCAGACAGGGCTAACCATCTTGTTTGGATCCAATGTGCTGGTTACTTTCGACAATGTACAGTACATATCGTCTGGCGCCTCCGCACCAGTTCCATCCAATACACAGGAGAGAGTCGTGGGGCTCACAGGTGAGGAATGTGGCAAGTGCTGCAAATCAAAAGCTGACTTGGTAGTCCACAGCCGAGTTCGCGTCCATGAAACTGTTAGTACGAACATGGTCACCCAGTTGACCTGCGCTCATATTTTCTGCTTTTTTTCGACGAAGAATGGCCTGAGTTATTACCGCCGGCGCGCACACCCCACCTAGCATAATACAGATAAGCTTAGCCGGGTGAAGAATTCCAAAGTCCTCTGGTTCTAACAGGAGTTACAATCCATCTTGCGCCTGGCTAAAACGTTACATTTGTCTTATGACAAGCAAAACTAGCTGTTGGCGAGATTGTAGCAGTGTTTCCTTGGTCGATCGGCCATCAGCATCAAAGCCAGTTTGCCAGTTCGTAACTGGCAAACACAACAGGACGAATCTTCATCACACCAGACCTGGTATGACAGACGCTTTGTGCATGATGTGCAGGTCTTCGCCGTGCTAGCGCTTACCGCGCCTTGAAGAGCACTCAGCATTATTTGTCCTTTCTTCGGTGTTTGGTCTTTACACGCGCATCTCCATACCAAACATTGTTAGATAAGTCGGATTCATTTCGTCTGTCTGAACATGTAGGTGGCATAAGTTCGAATGAGACACTTCTCTCCTTTTATCTGTTGTTCTCCCGTAACTCCTTTATATTCACCACCTTTTACATCTGTGACCATGCTCCTCAAAAATAAACAACAGTCACCATCGTTACACACTGTGAAAAACGTATATCATCATCACCTGGGTGACTGAAAAGAAGGCTTTTCGATGTTCGGAAGCTCTGATTACATGAAGAGAGGGAGGTTGCTGTTGGTTGCACACTGCGGGCATTTAGAAGAGCAGCATGTGGTCTTGTAATGCCCGAATACGACCATGATTAATAAAAACGCTTTACCTTCTGTTGTAAGCGCAACTGCTACCTTGAAATCACGCTCCTAAGATCTTGCAGTGGGTTACGCAGAAACTTCCCAAGTGGGGAAAACCACAGGAAGCTCAAAGTGCTTGTCGGCAGGAAGCGTCCCTTTTTGGGAGATTTTGTAGTATGTCAAATACCATGTAGACTTAAATACATCCATCTTAGGCTTTCTTGACATGATAGAGCATTTTGCTACACCTTTAAGTAATCAAGTAGGAAGATTTGCATTTCCATAAACTTAAACGTTCAGCACTTTACTTTCGTGGTTTTCTTTTATGAGATAATCGGTAACAGAGTATATTTGTGACAGCTTCAAAAAATACAGCATGCAACATTTTAAGAGTGCTGCACTGTTTTGGATCATTCAACCTATGCCTATTGCCGTTCAATGAATCCGGCAGACAAAAGGTTAAACTAAGTGATGGTACAGTCTTCCATTCCAGTACTTTTCAAGTGATCGAATAATTAACTTACTTAACACACCAGCTCATCGTAAATGTTATGACCAGACTAATCTGAAGAGGCACTCTCTTCAAGCTGGTTTCACATCTTAACTCCCCCACTTTCTACTGTAGACACGGCAAAACTTCCAGCAATTCAGGGGTGTAAACGGAGGAAACCTTTTGGGAGCTCTATACCAGGGTAACATTATGTAACCTCATCAGTTGCAACCATTTATATCCTGTCGAGCTCTAATCTCCCACTTGATCGTGACTTCATTTCCTTGGCCAGTACTTTATGCACCTGAGGCGTAATCATATCATGCAAGTGGTTTACCATTGCTATATTGGCCAATCATTGGAACCCGTTCAAATATCTTGCCTGGTAAATAGAATTAGAGAGATTAAGACGCAACCGAGTGAAAAAGCAGTCAGAGGACTTTCACCAGAAGAGTAAGTGTCTACCATTATCCTTCAAATCTGTGAAATTTTCATGACCCGGGAATCCGTAATTTTTAAGAATACAAGTGGCTTTTCATTAAGTTTTAGTAAAACACTACGTGCTCACATGCAGTTGAGTTCACAAACCTCAGGAGAAAATTACGAGAAACCGTACATAAAGGTCTATTGTAAAACGGAACCCAAAATTTGATACACTGGGTAGCCATATGAATGGTTACGTGATCCTTCCTAGCGAGTCTGCCATTGGTCTAAAAAATATTGAGGTTTTGCCTAAGGTAAACTTATCACAGAACACTAATTATCAGTTCGTTCCACGTAAGTCACATTACCACTTCCATTGCATATTCCACCAGTCACACCTGCGCACTAATATCCGGTGGTCTCACACGTTGTGGGTTCTCAATAATACTAGAAGTTTGGCACTGGAGTGGTCCCCGCTGTCTCCATCCTCACCACTATCGATTGTATTGATAGGTTAGTGCGTTACTGGGCTTCCAAATTTCATATCCGAGGCAAAAGTTACATTGCTGAAGTCATACGCAAGTGAGATGCGTTTGCCTGTATGATACAATTGTGAACTCTCACCACTGGAGCAGAGCACTTAGTTTACCAGTTGATATTAGCGTCCCATGTTATGCTAATAAGGTACCAGCTATTTGGCTATGCGCGCGCAAACGATGGATAATTAGGTTTAATATTTACAGGGGGTTAAACTGAGCTGTGTTCCGGAGCTCCACAGTCATGCTACGTATTAGTGGACATATGTGTCAACCGTAAATCACGAAAATTTTCACGGGTAGAGTTTTCCAGCGGTGATAATTTGAGTCAACCCGGCTTCATCTTACATCTGTGATGTAGGAATCTGCCCTGGTGCATCGTTTGCAAAAATAAGGGATAAAAAAGTGGTGCACATTTTGCTCCAGCTGCAAAGTCACTTTTGAAAACTGTGGTAATTACTGCTACAACTTACACTTTTGTCCAGCATATGCCTACACTAAAGTTGAAGCCTCGCCGTTTTGAAATGTGGGACATATGTGCAAATCTCTTTGACCGTTTTTCGTACTCAAGGATTTAGATAATCTATTTAAAAATAGAAGATAGTAGTTAGTCACTCCCTTAACTGAACCCTTTGCACCTTAATGCGTAATCTAGCTTTAACGTGCTGCAGGTTTCTGATTCAATTCATTTGAAATACGTATATCTTCCAGATGAAAAATGCGTTTTCATGTGGTCTTGTGGCAAATATGGGTCTTGGGATGACTGAAGTTTGCCATCTCTGGCTTCTTACTGAAACACGGCATTTTAGTTTAGTAATGTTCAGCAATTAAACATTTGTTTATACAAGGAGCACAGTTGAAAATGGTCCCATACACAGATAAGGTTTTAGCAAGTGTTTACTGTTGTCAATTAACTCAATAACTAGTTACCCGCCGCGTGTTTCAGTTGAGTAAGAAGGCAGTCCCTGAAATTGATATGTCCTAATCTACGTGATACCAAACGATAGATTTAAGCTAGCTAATTTATATTTACAAAGGTACGAGTGGAATGTACCCAGAGGGAGTCTTGTACCTACAGGATGTATTTGGCAGGGCTTTCTGAAAGTAAGAATTTTCCGCATCTTATTTTGTCTGTTCTTATTGAAATACATTTAATTATCCGAAAAGTTCAAATTTAACCAAAGTGGAGTATTCGTCTTTTCGACTGCTTCTCATGGTTTCTTTAAATAACGTATATCATTACTCAGCAGAGTTTGCTTAAAATTTATGTTGCGTTGCACTGTCACGCAAGAGTTAGTTTCACCAGCTAATTTATTCAAAAAATCTGTTTCCTCATCAAGCTGATAAAAACCGAAGGAAACCGTTATCATGTGAGCCAACTAAATACATTTTATCGCACACAACCTTTCAACTCAGCTGCCAAATTGAACGTCAGAAGCGGCTCTGAATCAAACATTCAAAGCTATAAATTGTTAAGTTGTTCCCAAAATCAAGAACATATCGTTGGGAAGAAATCGTGATGCGAAAAGGGTTGTCAAACAGTTGTTCCCAAAAGAGATCCTTATTTGAGAAATTGCGGCAAAATTTCTGGAAATTATTTAAACATTATTTATATGCAACGTTTTCGTCTTTCTCGGATTAGTTTCAAACAAAGAGAAACAGTTAAGAAAGATTA